AAAATTATTTCTAAAATTTATCAAACTCAATAATGAAATCACAACTCGGTTATTCCAATGACACATTTTCTACTTTATAAATTGTTTTATTTAAATATCTTTCAATTTGTATAAACCATGGTGGTAGATTACAGGAGGTTCGAATGTTTAGATTCTTGACCTTTAAGTAATTTTTTTTTCTTCATGTATTTTTAAAATTGATTCATATTAATAGTTAATCTTTTCTTTATCGTGAACAACTAGGGAAAGAAAAGTAAAAGGAAAGGAAATCGGTTTCATTTATTAATTAAATTTGGAGAGAAATATATATATGAATCTCTTCCATTCTTTTTTTTTTCTTCTCGCGGAATTCAACCAAAAGGGTTGTGTGTTATCCTAACAAATGATCGGTGAAAGAGAATAAAAGGAAGCAAGAAATGGAGGGCAAAAATAATTAATCAAATCAGCTGAAAAAGGAGATAGTATAGCACAATTTAATCTTGGATATTGTTATGAAAATGGAATTGGAACCATACAAGATGAAGATAAAGCATTTAAATGGTACTCAAAATCTACTGAAAAAAAAACAAATTTCAAATGAGTATTGTTATCGAAATGAAATTGGAATTTCTAAAATTAAAAATAATCAAAATAAATCAAAACATAAATGTTACAATTGTGAAAAATTAAATTTACAAAATAATACATGTTCAAATTGTAAACTAATAGAAAAATGGACTAGTGGTAATGATGAAATTGATAAGATTATTCAAATGACTCAATCAGATAATAATGCAAAAGAATGGGAAGGATAAATTATAATAAATTCAAGAATATAAAATATTTAGCTGAAGGAGGATTTGGCAGTATTTGGAAAGCAGAATGGAGTGATATGCCTGAAGAGTTATTTGAATTTTATAAATCAAATCAAGTTGCCCTTAAAAAGCTTAAAATTTTTAAAAGAGGTAAATATTAAATATATCAATATATCAATATATCAATATGTTTTTGTCTAATATAAATATAATTTATATTTTTTATAAATATAGTTAACTGCAAATTTCGAATGTCGAGATAAATATATTTTACCAATTTTAGGTATAACTCAAGATCCAGAGAAAAAAGAATATGCAATAGTTTTACGATATATGAAAAATGGAAATTTAAAAGATTTTCTTAAACAAAATAAATCATTATCTTGGATTGATCGATTATGGTTATTGGATTCTTTTATCAGGGGATTAAAAGTAATTCACAATAAAAAACATGTCCATCGTGATCTTCAACCTGGAAACCTTATGATAACTGAAGTATATAACAATTCAAACTACAAATTTATAAGGTTAGGAGACTTAGGATTATGTAGACTAGCAAATGAAATCTCATCATTTAAAACATATGGTATATTACCATATGTTGCACCTGAAGTAATAAATAAAAAGCAATATACACAAGCTTCAGATATTTATAGTGTTGGAATTATTATGTGGGTAATTCCAACAGGACAAAGACCATTTTCTATTAGAGCATATGATTCGTAATTAGCAATTGATATTTTTAATGAACTTCGACCAAAGATTAATAAAAGTACACCTCAGTGTTATATAGATTTAATAAAAAGTGTTGGGACAAAGATCCATTTAAACGTCCAAATGCTGAAATAATTCATTATACTTTAGAAAAATGGATTTTTGAATTAATGTTTAATGAAAAAACAAAACATTCACTTATGTTTTTAAATGCAGATCAAGAAGTGCAAGATGAAGACTTTGAATTATCATCTGCTGAAACTACTCATTCTGAAGCATATCTTACAAGTCATCTTTTACCTTCACTATCACATATTCAACCTTCTTCGAATTAAATTTTAATATAAATAAAATGAATTTTGATAATTATTAAGTCAAAATTTGTTTGGATATGCAATTGAAAGTTTAAACCAATTTTCAATTTATTTAGTTGAAATTTCTTATTCTGCCTTAATAATATTATTTTCTTATTATTATTTCCATATAAATTATATAATGTATTTTTATGAAACTAATAAATATATTGTATTATTAAAGTTTTTTTTTTGCCAGATATACAGTATATTGATTTTCATAATATCCACTATACCATTTACAATTATTCAGGTATAAATTTATTATAAAATTTAATTGCATTTCGAAAATCGAAATTAAAATAACCAAATGTACATTATATTACAGGATTTAATTTAATTATTATTAATTTAGAATATAGAAATTTTTAATATTTCAACAAACAAAAGCATGTTTCATGTGAGGTTAATTTTGAGTTTCAAATACAAAACAAATAATATATTTTAATATAAAAATAATTTTTTCTGTAATGGTCAAACTTTCATGTATCAGGAAATTTTAATAGGCGAAGGCCTCCGGAGGATTTTCGTTGCTAGCGAAAGCCGTCGGGGGATTTTTTTATTTATAAAGCGTAGAGCGATTTTCTACTAAGGTATTTCTAAGATAGAAAGAAAGGCCTTGCTCTTGGCCACAAAATTATATGTGTTTCATTCCGACAGCATCAATATTTGCAGAGTTATTCTAGTTTAAAGAAAAGCGTCCGTGAAAAAATCGTGAAAAAAATTTTCTACACGATGTTTTTACGTACGTTTTTCTTTAAACTAGAATACTCTGCGAATATTGATGCTGTCGGAATGAAATACATATCATTTTGTAGCCAAGAATGAGACCTTTCTTTTTATCTTAGAAATACCTTAGTAGAAAACCACTCTATGATTTGAAAAATCGCGAACGAAGTCGAAAAACGTAAAAAAAAAAACGCAAAATTTTCTGGAGATTTCCATTTTTTTTACGTTTTGCGATTTTCTACTAAGGCATTTCTAAGATAGAAAGAAAGGCCTTATTCTTAGCTACAAAATGATGTGTTTCATCTTGATAGTATCGATATTCGCGGAGTTATTCTAGTTTGAAAAAAAAAGTCCGTGAAAAATCGTGCAAAAAATTTCCCGCACGTTTTTTTCACGGACGCTTTTCTTTAAATTAGAATAACTCCGTGAATATCGATACTATCAAGATGAAACACATATCATTTTGTAGCCAAGAACAAGGCCTTTCTTTCTATCTTAGAAACATCTTAGTAGAAATCGTTTTACGCTTCGCAAATCGCTAACGAAGTCGAAAAACGTACAAAGGCTTTCGCTAGTGATGAAAATCCTCGTCTTTTAGCTTTTTTTTCTTGTAATTTCATAATTTCTCTTCCTTCAATTAATTTTAAGCTTGAAATCAAATTATCTCACTAAGGTTATTAATCTCTTTTCATTCTTTGCTATAATCCGTTTTAGTTTGGTACCCAAGGTCATAAATCAATTTTCTTCCACATTCGAGACATTCTTCGATCAAAAAATTTTTTTCTTCCACGATCAAGCATGGAAGAGTTTGAATTTTCTTCCACATTTGAGAATATATTTTCTTTATTTTTTCTCAAAAGATCAAAATCATTATCGCTATTTTTATATATCTTATTATTTTAAATTTTCTCAATAAACCAAATATAATATATGTATTTAACCTATTCAAAAATAAATTTAAGGGACATCATCTATATAAAAATTTGTATCTATTTTCTTAACTTACTAGAATCCGTTTTTTTCTGTGAATTAACCAAGATTAGTATTGTATTTTTTAATCTGTAAAATTTATTATACTTAATTCTCTCACATATATTCTACAATTAAATAAAAATTGTAATAAAGGGTACCAAAATTAATAAAGTTTTTTTTTTTTGATTTCTATCGTTGTTATCTATACAGAAAAAGTTGATACCTTTCATTTCATTATTTCTAATAATATATGCATAATAAAAAAATATATATAATTTTTTCAAATAAAAGATATCAAATTCTTCAAAGGGTACCAAAATATTTAATCAGAGATATCAATTTTTTGTTTCGAAAGTATGTTTTTTCTTAAGACATTTTTGAAATGTTTCGAAACAAAATAGCCTCTATGTGTGAATGAAAAAAATTGCATGCAAGATTTGCGCGATTTTGAAATGCAGTGCAATGTGTAAAAATTATTTACATTATAAAAAAAATAAGGTTGGAATTTATCAAATGACTCCCTCTCTCTCTTTTTTCTTTTAGAAAAAAAATATCGGTATTGAATTTTTTTTTAAAAAAAAAGTGAAATCAGGTGAGTGATGATGATCTAACTGTTGTGTCAGCTTAACGGAATTTATCTTCTTGATGACGAGAATCCAGAAATCACAATTCCTCAAAAGATGTATAATTATAGGAGTGTATTAATCGAAAAAATTTCGATCTCACATAATCAATATCATTATATAAATTCAAATAGTAAATGTGAATAATCAATTTAATATATAATTTCATTTAATCGTCAACGTCCACAAAAATTTAGATTCCATCACTGATCACTGATCAGCGTGAAGAATAATCCCATACACGCGATTTTTCAAAAATTTAAATTTGCTAAGCCACAAATAGATTGTAAAGAACTAATTAACAAGAATTACTTTTTTTTAGCAAAACTAAAATGAGTATTTTGAGATCCAACAAATCTGGATATAAGACGTCGAAAACCAATCATCATAATAACGTGACCGTTTAAAACGCCACAATAATTAGGTGGCTTTTCTACGAGAATTCGATACCTGGTTTACCACTTTGTGCTGGTCCATGTGTAATTACATTCATAACAAAGTGTCATTTAATGTTGTGAGATTTGGTCATTATCTTTTTTTGACCAAAACATAAATTTTCTTTCCAATAGTACATTTTCGTTTTCACTCTCAATACACTTATCAAAAGTTGCTAAATCACTTGTGCTTGGATATGTATTCCAATCATTTTTCGTTACTTTTATTAAATCTGAGAGATTAATATACTTTAATTCTATTACTGAATAATTTAAGTCTTCGAAAATAAGATCCACAAACCAAATCTACCATCTCCCTTTGGTTTATTGCTGTCAATTACTAAACACAATTCTGGAATTTGATTATTTCGCAACAATAGTTCAGGTTGATCTTGATTTAAAAAATGTTATAAGCGTTTCTTCGAATTCCATAAGAGTAATATCCGATTTTTCGGTGAAGGCAGATACTTTCTTCCCTTTCTTCGTGACTCTGGTATTTGTGGAATCTATATTTTTTCGTTTTCCTCTTACCGATTTATTTACATCCATAGATTTGTTGCATATATCACTTACTTCATTAGACTATATAGAAACGAAAAATTATATTGGATCGGAATAATTGTGCAAAAAAATGTACGCAAACAATTCCAACTTGTTCTGAAGTTCCTGAGGGAGGTGCATAAACTCTTCCTCCAAAGTTAGTAGACCTCTCAAAGAAACCTAGGGTGACCAGATGCAGGGGACCACACCCCTATTGCACATGCTAAGGCGTAGTCAGCAAGATGCGCATCTAATTCAACTACTCGTGGTTATCCCTTTCTTGGACGTGACCATCGAGGGCACGAGAAGTCTAACCATCCCGACTACACTTCAAAAAAAAAAATTATCTGAAGTATACCTCAAAACTTACCTTTTTTCCTTTTAAGAGTTCTTGAATAACATTATGAAATTCCTGCGAAATTTTTTGATCATTACCCATGGTTTCTAAAGCTTTATAAAATGTACGATGGACATTTGCCTTGTCCATATTTTTATGCACCCAGGCAATATAATGATTAAATGACCAATTCTTTTGGGGAAAGATCTCGAAGTACTTCGTATAAGGAACTTTCCATTTTCTAATTTTTTCGAACGCTATTATAAAGGAAAAACTCTGATAAGTTATACTACAAAACAGGTACATAAATTAGATCCTATACATACAATTGGAAAGCTCTAAGTTTTTAGGTAATTTCTGTTCAATTATATCATGTTCAGTTTCATCGACTTTTTTTGTCTCTTCAAATATTCGATAAGTTGTCCTGTGCTATATCTTCGACTCAGCTCTGCCAAGATGCGTGCATCTTTATCTTCTATATTCTTGCTTGAAGTAGAAATTGGTGTAGTTATCGTATACATATTTATGTTTTTGCTAAGGTTCTGTTAAAAATCAAGGAAAAAGAGACGCGACGTGACAATCAATCATTCTATTTTATTGGTTAAAATTAACTTTGATTAGTGTACAAAAATTACTGCACGTTACTATAGTTAATTCGGATTATAAAAATAAAAATGATTGTCCATAGTGAAAAATTTCACCCCACGTGATTCTTGTGAAATACTTTATTAACAATTTAATATATTGCTCCGGACTTACAACAGTTCCCGGTACGTTAAAGGCCGGCCTATGTAGTAGATTCATGGAGTAGAGAGCTAAGAGGAATAAACCGGATCCTAGGCCCCTTTACATTGTAAATAAATGGCAGTTCCTTTCCCTACTCCATATATTTCATCTACGGTGGAACTACTACAACGGGTATTTCTATTATAATAATTTTTAACTGTTGCTTGACTAATATTCCCTCCAAGATCTTGGATACGAACTGCTACCCTATTATACATTGCATCAAAAGTGAGATTTCTTTCAGCCGTGACTCTATCAAAAATAACTTTAAAGTGAATCCAAATAGTTGAGGAAATGTTGGTATATTGGCTTCGTCCGGAAGAAGTAGAACTTCGAATTTCTGATTCGCCTGCAATCAAAAAACATTAGTTAGTGAAACTAAACATAACTGATAAAATTTAATCTCCATTGTGCATTTCAAACATCTACGCCTAAATCTTTATCTGAGGAATTTGGAGAGGATCGAGTGGGAGATGATGAATGAGCAGAGGAGAACGTTGCTTCACTTTGTTGATCAGATCCTCTTCGTTCTGAGCTTTGGATAAGAGAATGTCGTCATTGGCTAATGCTAATTTCATTTTGGAGTGTCGTGATGATTCTGTTAATTATTTTACAATTCCGCAGAACGTATTACGGTGCGTTTCTATAATTCTTTTGGTCTCGCTATTTATAGGTTTTGTTAAAATAAATTAATTAATCAAAAAAAGTATAAAATGAAAAATTGGAATGTATATTTAACATTTAAATTAAAAAAAAAATTCAGATATTACTAATAATTATGATATAAAAATGAAAATAAAATAAATACAAAATTAATTTTTTGTTTTCTTATTAGTAAAAGATAGTACCAAGTTACTGTTACTGTATCAAGTTTAGATATATTTTGTAGTATGATCATCAAAAAAATTTATAAATTACAAATTAAAAATAATTTATTATCATTATTACATATAAAACTTTTTATTTTAATAAAACAATGTCAAAAATAGTACTTAAAGATAAGAATGAATTGTATCTCTTATAAGAAAAATAGACATATATCATTAAAATAATAATATTTGTAAAATTTCACAAATTAATAACTTTTGAAGGTTAGCAAAAACTTTTGAAAAATAATATAATGAAAATAACAAAATATTTATATTAACATTAATTTTCAAAAGTTTTTCTAAAAAAAAATTTCTAATATACAAATAGAAATTTTAATTTTAGTTTATTTATAATATATGATAAAATAGAACAGTCAATTTAGTTAATCTATAATATAGAAATTCTGATTTTAGCTAATCTATAATATAGAAATTATTATTTGATATAATAATTCTTTTATATTTAACTAGTGATATTAGATATTGATAAAGATAAAAAATATTTTATTACTTTTATTACAGTAAATACTTATTGGATATTAGACAAGAGTACAGTATTTGAGATTTATTTGTTATTAATCTGATATCAGATAGAAATAATATTTTTAAAATTTTTATTAATATATTTTCATATTTTATAAAAGAAATAAAAAGTTATTAATATAATTTTCTAAAATGTATTTTCTTTTTTAATAAATAATAATTTCTTAATTATTAAAATATTAAGTTTGTTACTTATGTAATAAGGATATCATAAATAATAATTTTTGATAATATAAAATCGAGTGTGGATTATAACTATTCCATGTGGTTTATATCATAATTTTGGCCACATTAATGTGTGGCCTATATTATAATTTTGGCCATATTCGAAGATAGTGTGATTTATAAATCGGGCCATATTGGTGTGTGGCCAATCTCATAAAGTTGGCCACATAGGAGCCAGATATAATGTAGCCGATCTCATAAAGTTGGCCACCATCGTCATGTGGTCTAACAACAAAAGTTGGCCTCCGTCGTCATATGGTCTGATGACAAAAGTTAGCCACATGGGTAAAAAATATATCTAATGATGCATTCACACTGGTTGAAATAGGGAATATCGGACACCTATTGTATGTCTATCGGAAGCTCGATAGGTATACGATAGGTGTCCGATATCAACAATTATGTAATATATCGGGCACCCGATAGGTAGGGTCGAAATGCAAAAGTTCGGGCACTTATCGGGCCCATATCGGTTTCATATCGAACATTAATATTTTGATATTTTATTTAAATTCATCATTCATATATCGGGCACCCGATTTTATTTATTTTTTTTATTGGTACATATCTTTTATAAATCGGCCATAGTATATCCCTATATATCGAGCACAGTATATCTCTGTGTATCGGGTAGTTTTTTTTCCTCTATCGGGTATCTATTGGTACCTTTTATTTATATATATATATATATTTTCACTTTTTTTATTTGCAAATAATCATAATTTTAGTTTATTATAAAAAAAGATAATAAAATGAAATACATTTAT